GCGGTGTCCTAGGAGGCGTCAATTGCGAAACTATTCCACACTCCTTGAGATAATCGTGGAATTCAAGACTTAGGTACTCTCCTCCTCGATCGGATCGAAGCATCTTGATTTTCCTGCCCAATTGATTCTCCACTTCATTCTTGAACTCTTTGAACTTTTCAAAGTTTCTGACTTTTGCTTGATTAAGTAGATATACCCATATCTACTATAGTCATCGGTAAAAGTCACATAGAAGCGGTTCCCATCCTTCGTGGTTGATCTAAAAGGTCCACATACATCGGTATGTATTAGGTCTAATAGTCCCTCACCCCTTTCACAAGTACTCGTGAAGGGTGACTTAGTCATCTTTCCAAGTAAACAAGACTCGCATGTGTCATCTTCCCTAAGGTCGAATGACTCCAACACTCCATCCTTTTGGAGTTGGGCTATGCGTTTCTTGTTGACATGTCCAAGACGACAATGCCACAAGGATGCTTTATCCATACTAGTGGAAGAATCAATATTCAAAACATCATTTCCTAAGTTATCAACAATCATAACAGTTTCATATATTCCATTACATGGTATAGCTTCAAAGTAAAAGACACCATTTAGATAAGCCAAAATAGAACCATTCTCATTATTAAAAGAAAATCTAAATCCTTGTCTATATAAACCATGAAATGAAATGATGTTTCTAGCCATTTCTGGCGAATAGCAACAATTGTTCAAATCTAAAACTAAACTATTCTTAAGCACTAAAGAATACACTCCAATCTTGGTCACAGGCGACGATCTTCTGTTCCCCATGATTAGATTGATCCTTCCTTGCTCCACATCCCTACTTCTTCTTAGTCCCTGCACATTAGAACAAATGTGATAACCACAACCGGTGTCAAGAACCCAAGAAATAGCATGATTAGAATCGTTAGATTTGATTGCATATATACCTGCGAAAGATGGCTTGATCTTTCCTTCCTTGATGGCTTGCAGGTAATCCGGGCAGCTTCTCTTCCAATGTCCTATCTTGTGGCAGTGGTGGCACTCTGCCTCCTTCGGGTTAGAGCAGGGCTTAGAGGGATCAACTTTGGTCCCACTAGAAGAGGAACCATCTCGGGCTTTCACCTTTCGATAGTTATTTGAAGAAGCTTTCCTCTTCTTTCCCTTCCCTTGACCAATAGCCAAGACAGGAGCAGCGGATGGATTGGGAGTTGGTGCAACAGACTTGTCCTTGAAATTGCTCTCAGCAACCCTCAAGAGACCTTGGAGTTTACTTAGAGTGACCTCCTCTTTGTTCATGTGGTAGGTCATCCTAAATTGATTATACATCGGAGGCAAAGAGTGAAGCACCATGTCGATCGCCAAGTCTTCGCCGAAGTCAACATTTAACTTGCGAAGGCGGTCGACATACCTTTGCATCTTTTGCAAGTGCACGGTAAGAGATTCTCCATGACCCATCTTGGCGGAAATCATGTTAGTGAAGATCTCGTAACGCTCTTGTCTCGCGTTTTGGTGGTACCTCTCCAACAAGTCTTGATGCATTTCGTATGGATACATGTCCTCGTAGGACTTTTGGAATTCGGAGTTCATGGTGGCGATCATGATGCAATGTACTTCGTTGCATCTCGCTCATGAGTTTCAAAGGCGGTGATTTCGGCGGGAGTAGCAACTTCGGGGTTGATTTTCTCGAGCTTCTCATCGAGGACATACTCTTTATCCTCATAGCGAGCAATGGTGCGAATGTATCTTATCCATTCGCCAAAGTTCGTTCCATCGAAGGTGACCTTTTGGCAAAGGCTCATCAACGTGAAAGAACTAGCAGCAGCGTTGTTTGCGTTTGACATCTATAGAAAGGACAAAGATAGATTAGAAAGAATCCCTAATTATCACCCAATAAGAAAAATTAGGGCTAGGATCCAACAATAACATTTACATACTAGAAAAGGGATGCCGTAATCTAACATGCAAATAAATTGAAGGTAAGTGAATGACGATTCACTAATTCTCCATCACAAAACTTAAACTTTTAGTCCTAAGTGTTTTTGAGAATTCCTAGGTTCGGATGAGATTCATTGAACTATTCAATGGCATGTTTAAATCTCGATATGCCCCTCTTGTTTGTGACTGGGATGCCGAGGATCACAAAGCGGGTGTGAATTACCATGCAAATTCACATGGTGCCTTCATTGTAACGATCACCTATTCGATGTGCCGGTAAACCACACACGCTCCATCGAACTATGATAAACAATGAATCACCCTTTGCCACCTTCGCTTAGAACCAATTAGTGTGCCGGTAAACCACACACGCTCCACTAACATCTTAGCAAGGTGCAAAGTGTAATTTCATGGGATTGCATCAATTCACTTTTCCTAAAGTAACTAAGATTGGGAAATTTAAAAAAATTTAGTTACTTCGTATTTCTTATTATACTTTTAATGAGAGGATGAGGTTGCCCTATCCTACCCGTTCGGCTAACGACCCTCCACCAATCAAGCAAGCGGTGGGTGTGAGTGTACACCCATTAAGCGCCATTTTATAGGCCGCAACCTTATACCCACCTTATAGATCGGCTTCGTGAATGAGGCCTACTAGCGGTAAGACTAGCATTTAGTTATACATATATATATTATTCTATAATATCATATAAGTATAGGGTTGTATTTTAAACTTTTAAAATCTAGGGATTGAAATTTAAGTTGTCTAAATTAAAACTTTTAATCACAAATATAAATTTCAAAACTTAGGGTAGGTTTTAAACATTTAAAACATGGAGGATCAAATAACAAATAATTTCAATTAACAATTAATATTTAATTATCTTTATTTGATTTATCTTTGATTTCTTTGAAGATAATTACCAAAATAATCAAAATAATTAATTAATTATCATATAAGGAAATTAAATATTTAATTAGTTGATAATTACCTTTAACTAGATCAAGATAACACTTATATTTATCAAAAAATCGGATTTATATTGATCTAATTAGTTTATGGAAAGTTTGGATAAGATAAACACAAAGAAATCCCGAATCTGGCCATTCCTGACGCCTGACTCGCCGAGTGCACAAGGGGACTCGCCGAGTCAGGCCTACTCGACGAGTCCACCTTGGAACTCGACGAGTCAGTGACTCAAAACCCAAAAATCGAATTTTGCAGGTTTGTTTCAGTTATTCAAGCAACAATTTAAAGAAAACCAATCTAGGCTCTGATACCACTGTTGGGTTTTAGCCATAAGAACTTTCCTATGTGCGCATGCAAAACCCTATTGCTTGGATCTAGGCTTTCTAATAAACATGCTTTGAATCCAAGACTTCTAATGCTAATTAGGTTAAATAACAATGATGAAACAGATCTAGAATCATACCTTTGAGTTCCTTGTTGATCTTGTTGTCTTGGAGCTTCTAGAGTCACAATTGTCACTCCTCTAATGGCTTACAAACACCAATAGCAAGCAAGATGATTTAGGAGAGTGGAGAGGGATGGAATTCGACCAGAGGTTCCTTTCTTCAGGTTCTACAAGGTTGTACACGAATTCCCCATCCCAAGGGCCTATTTATACCTTTAGACTCCTTAAGGGTTTCACCCTAAACCCTAATTGGATAATCTTCTCTTAAGGCTATCCAAATCCATTCCATAGATAACCCTATGGACGATTTTAGCTTATCTAAAGCTCTTAGAATCCGTCCAAGGTGTATCCTAATGGATTTATAGTCTAAAGTCTAACTATCAAACAATTGACAGTTTATACCCTCTTATTTAATTAATCTCTTTAAGTCACCAAATTAATACCAATTAATTTATTACTTATATTAATCAAATAGTCAAATATTATTCCTTATAATATTTACTCTCTCTTATACAAATCATCCTTCAAGTTGCTATGGTGAAGGCAACCCAAAAGGACCATGCACCACCGAATATAGTTATAGCCTTAGACACTATTCCAACATTATGGTCAAATACAAATCATCTTATTAGAGTTTTCTAAAATATACAAAAGATGATAATCATGTAAACACAAGACATGTATGTTATATACTTAGAATTATATAACACTAAATATATATAAATTAGTATATGTATGTATATACGAGTATTAGTCATATGTCATAATCAATTATACGTTGTGGATTAAATTTTCATAAATATATATTAAATATATGTCAATTTTTAATTTAAGAGATCAATATTTAACAAATTAATAATTTTATATTTCCTAACGTATTCGTTTAATTATATATATATATATATATATATATATATATATATATATATATATATATATATATATATATATATATATATATATATATATATATATATATATATATATAGGGTTAGGTTTATTTGAGACCACCTATATTTTGTGAGACCGTGAGACGCATTTTTTTATTTTTTTTTATTTTTGTTCTATTTTATTTTTATTTTTTTTAGTTCATTCATGTTCCGAAAATAATATTTAAAAAAAGAATTTTTTGATTTTTCCATTTAATTTGCATTTTAAAATTATTTTTAGAATATGTACAGTGTAATATTCTATTTAGAATATTTCACGTATTTTTCAAAAAAAATAGATTTTTTTTAATTTTTTTTAGTTAATTCAAGTTCCGAAAATAATATTTAAAAAAAGAATTTTTAGATTTTTCCATTTATTTTGCATTTTAAAATTATTTTTTAGAATATGTCAGTGTAATATTCTATTTAGAATATTTCACGTATTTTAAAAAAAAAGAACGGAATTTTTTTTATTTTTTTATATTTTTTTTAATTAATTCAAGTTCCGAAAATAATATTTAAAAATTTTTTTTTTGGATTTTTCCATTTATTTTGCATTTTAAAATTATTTTTAGATTTAGTCTCACGGTCTCACAAAATTAAAATGGTCTTAAATGAACCTGAACCTATATATATATATATATATATATATATATATATATATATATATATATATATATATCATTAATAAAACCAATAAAATTTCTTCAACGATTCATACACAAATACATAATACATAGTTAATTAAATCAATACAAACACGTTACATACAGAAATGAAACTATTACAATACAAATAAATTATACAATTGTTGTACAACCCATCACTGATTTCTTCTAGATCTTGTTTTACACAACTGAACACTAAAAGAAACGTGTCTTCCTTCCTCAAATATAGCTGTGAATCACCAATCCACATCCAGTTTCCTTTTTTCTTCTCTTTCGTTCCAGTTAAGGTGGTGTTGTTAAAACAGTAAATCACAGGGATAACAATCCCGATTGTTTTTTTTTTTTCCCCATTTCCTATGAAAACAACAAACCCAAACACCTCTACAACACCCATCGATTTTACCTATCAAACATCAAAACAAACACAAATTCATTCCACTGATTTCTGTTTAAAAAAAATGATGATGAACGAAGGAGTTGCCGAAAGCAGCACCATTCCCTCACCTGCTTCGTCATCTGGATCAAACAAAGGCAGAGGACCGAAGTCCTTCCTCCCCCTTCGTATGTTGATGCCGATCGAAGCAGCCAAGAGGACATCAAGCCCGTTTGCCCCTTCTTCCTGACGAACACTTACACTTTCTTTGTGTTCTACCGCTGAAGACGAGAAAGGAAATCACGAGGAATCCCCGGAGATCAGCTATACCTCCCTACCACTGCTCACCGATCCAACCTGCCACTACTTTCGATCGACCTTCTCTCTGCCTCCCATCTTCCCTCCGTCTCTGCGGTCTCGTCAAACCCCGAAGACAAACCCCCTCGTCGTCGATCGCACCTCCTCTCTTCGCACCTGCCGGTCGGAAGAGAAAGAGCAAAATCTCGCTGCCTCGTTCCTTTCTTCCTTTGGTTCGGCCAAACACCGGAGATACTCACTTATTCCGATCTATTACCACCACCGAGACCACCTCCGTTCGCTGCTTGATCGCTCGATTTTTCCCTCTCCCGATCTGTGAAGAGGACGACGCCTCTTTTGTTCTTGGAGCCCCTTTTCGATCGACTGAACACAAAACACGACCTAAAAACATGTTTCTGATTTTGACCAAGTCAAATGTCAAAAAAGTCAAACCTCGTTTTAAAATGAACAAAATCACCCCTCCCTTGATTAAGTTTATCAAAATCAGTCCCAATACCCAAAAAGTGATTCCATTTATCCACAAACAACCCCTCATTTGGTAAAAAAAAATTATCAAAAACAATCCTAATCATTTAATCAAATTACAAAAAAGCCCTCTATATTTTAGTGAAGTTATAAATCAGCCCCCAACAGTTTAAATTTGTTACAAAATGGTCCCGAAAGTATTTCAAAGTTCAAGAATGGTGTATTTTAGGTTTCACACGACATGTTGTCAATAGAATCTGAATACGAACAACTCGAACTCATGCTTCAAGGGTGAGTGCTTACGACCCATTTTTAATATTTTAATTATTTCAGAGGGGGGGGGGGGGGGAGATACATGTGCCTAAATATTTTTGTTTATACAAATCAATTTCCTTTTCATGCAAAAATGTAATAAACCTATTTTATAAAACTATTCTTATTTACCAACTTACCATATTATTACGAATAAACTAGTATGAATTTCCGTATACGTATTATGGTTATTTTATTGAGAAATAACCAGTTCACACAATAAATATTACATAATACAAAATTATATGATTTTTATGTGACATTGCATCTTATAACAAGCACATTATGAAACTCTGTAGTATTTCAAGGGTTCAAGCTATTAATATGCATGCTTATTTATATGATTAAGTACACAACGTTTATACATGTACATATGTTCATTAATTTGAAACATTCATTTTTATAAAGCAAGAACATTACACTTTTACATATAGGTCAAACATACTCGGCTTTTATAAACCTTATAAAATGATATTCATTATGCCTAGTGACTTAATCACAATTAAGTTAGGGCTGAGTGTTATTCGCAAACATTTTAGTTAATGGCATTTTAGTGAGACGTTATTCATTTGGTGAGTTTAAACACTTAGCATACCCACTTGTGTTTGCTAGCTACAACATCGATCGATCAATCGAAGTGGGTGATAAGTGTCTATGATCATTACTTCAATGTCAAATGAAGCGTTGTATGGGGGTACACTCAGTCACATAGCTCGGTTATAGGACTCACTATAAACATTTACTAGAATATCTATCTCTCTGACTACCAACCATGGCTTGGTTGCTTTCAACACTATTTTAAATATGGAATTACTTATGGAGCATAACAGTTTGGTTTTAAAGGATATTCAAAGATTCAGTACAAACACAGTATAAAGTATGGATTCACTTATACAACATACATCTTGGCTTTTAAAGACTCATTGCAAACATTGTTTTAACTATTGATACACATACAAAGAAATACTTTTTAGCCTTATTAAAAGTATTATTGATGTTATCAGAAAACCTGTAACACTCACCAACATTGTATTGACCCTCAAAACTACATGTATTCTCAGGAAATCACTAAATCGGCATTCAAGACGGATTGGATTACATGTGACCTAGTTTACTTGATGTTGTATTATATGCCCATCTGTTAAGGCAATTAATGTATTATTGTTATTTATAAAAACGTTGTATTCAAATATAAAGATGGAACATTAATGCTATATTGTGTATTGTTGTACTTGTGCCATATATTCAGTTTACTTTTGATCCATGAACTTAGTCGCACAGCCCGACATGTTCCGCCGCCTTGGTTGAGGGTGTGACAGACTGATATCAGAGGTAAATTGGCTATAGAGAACTCATATCCTCGAAAGAGGAATACAACTATAACAACTAGCTTCTAATACAAGTATTATAAATATTAATTACAATACTTCTTGGTTACTTACCGTATGGAGAATCTGGTTTGAAGGGCCACAGAGGGTTGTTGGATTTCAAAACGACATAATTGTTAAAATGGTCATACCCTCCGGTGTTTGCTGTGTGTCTCCCTTCTGTACTTGGTAATCTTGGGGTACAAAACAAAATATAATAATACTACAAACCCCACCAGTGATAATATATAAGAGTTATATATACTCTGACCCGCGATGAGAACACTTAATAAAACTCTAACATGTCTCCAACTAAAACTAGCAACTCAACACTTTAGGTCAAATACCTCAACTAAGGTTAGTATCGTACATAACTAAACCTGGAACGTATGCGTATGTTATTTATAGTCGGGCTGGTGAACAACCAACCTTGAGCAAGGAGTTTGATAGACTATAATGGTTGAAAGTTTTAGACATTGAAGGATGTTCTCAAGATTCGTTTCATACACATAGTACCTTAGAGACCTTATATCAACCCCAAAACAACATATACATTTTAATAATACTTAAAAATTTAGGATAACATCAGATTCTCCTAGTTCGCCTAAACCCAAAGAAGAACAAAGAACAAATAGTTTCACTACCATCATAACAAAGAAATATATAGTTCCCCATTGATCATTCAGTATTCTTCGAACTTATCTATATCATTTGAAATCGGTAGGATTTCAATTCACTCCCTACAATTAGGAAACCTCTAGGATTTATGGAATCAATAATTCTATACAATTTGGAATCGTACCTTGAAAGGATCGGAGATGATTTCTTACACCTCCTGATTTAACGACCTCACAAACCTTTACCCAGGAATGGTAAACCCAAAATACAAAACATCTGGGGATTAACTTCACCAGTTTAAGGTCTGGTTACTACATCCAGACCCACTATCATCGATAGTGCCAAGAAATTGACCTATCAATTGACCGAACAGTGTATCCGTCAGGGTACCATGACCCTAAAAAATGAAAAGTACAAGGTTAGGAGTAACAAAAGGAAGTTCTATGGCAAGTCAAAAGGTAACTTCAAGCCTCGCAAACCCAATCAAAAACCTATGGTTGTGTACGTCGAAATCATGAACACTCCCACTCAATCAAAACCCTACTCTAGGACTTTACCTCACTATACCAAGTGTAATTTCCACAATGTCATAAATGGTAAGGTATGTAGCATCTAAAACTCAAGCGGTCACATCTCTAAGTTTTGCAGAAAGGCCCCAAATAACACAACATCAACCACTGGTGCAAAAGAAAGTTATATGTACTATGAATTTAATCAACCAAGGCATTTTAATAATGACTACCCGAAACTGAAGAATCAAGGTGGCCAAGGAAAATCATTTCGTGATAGGTGTTGGATATGCTCACTAGGAACCAACTGTGGTTACTAGTACATATTTTATTAACAATATTTATGCATCAGTACCATTTGATTCTAATGCCGATAGAATGTTTATTTTCCTATAAGTTTAGAAGGATGATTAACCATATATCATGAAAACTTAATGAAGCTTACATGGTAAAAGTAGCATACAACCAGATAGAAAGCACCCTAGAAATACTCACTAGTTTCCTTCTCTCCCTGAATAACCACGCCTTTCACGTTAACCTAATACCTATGACCATTGGAAGTTTTGATGTGATCATTGGAATAGATTGTTTACCAATTCATCGAGCAGAAATTAACGTTATGAAAAAGCCGACCGAATACCTTTACGAAATAAGAAAACTCACGTGATTTATAGACTTAAGTCTGTGAAGAACCTAAGAATCATCTCTTTCATGAAGGCGAGAAAGTGTTTGCAAAAGAAGTTGTTCGCTTTCGTGGGTCACGTTGAGGTTAGACAAGACAAGGATAAGGAAATGAAAGACAAATTGCAAGTGTGTGACTACTCGGATGTATTTCTAGAAGGGCTACTTGGGGTACCTACAGTCAGATAGGTTAAATTCTGAATCGACCTAATCTTGAGTGCATCACCAGTGGTAAGATATTCTTATCGTATGGCTCCATCGGAAATGCAAGAACTATCCAGTTAACTCCAAGAACTTATGGACAAAGGGTTTATCCGGACAAGCTTCTCTCCATGAGGAGCCCTATTATTGTTGCCAAAATAAGGATGGATCATTCAGGATATGCATTGACTATTAATAAGTTGAACAAACTCACTATTAAGAATCGATATCTACTCCCTAGGATCGATGACCTATTCGACCAACTACAAGGACCCCGTCACTTGCTAAAGATCGATCTAAGATCCAACTATCATCGACTCAGAATCCAAGAAGCAGACATTCCAAAGACAACATCCAGGACTCAGTACAGTCACTACTAGTTTCTGGTTATGCCATTTGGACTGACCAAAGGCACCAACCGACATATGCTAAATACTAAGGCTTACGAACTACTATCAGAGATTCGTCGAGAACTTCTTCAAGATAGATAAACCTCTCACCACCCTAACCCAAAAAGCCAAAAATTATATTGAGGAGATAGACAAGATTCTGCCTTCCAAAAATTGAAATAGTTGTTGTGCAGTGCACAAATTTTGTCTCTCCCACAAGTAACAAAAGACTTTGTAGCATTCTGTGATGCCTCTCACTAAGGGTTGGGATGCGTATTGAAGAAAAAGAATAAATTCATTTCATATGTATCGGAAAACTTAATCTAAAAAAGACCAATTAGACTACCCATGACTTAGAGTTAGGAGCTATAGTGTTTTCCTTAAAGATTTGGAGACACTACCTCTATGGAACGAAGTGTGTTGTGTTCACCGAACATAAAATCCTCCGACACATCTTCAACCAGAAGGAACTCAACTCGAAACAATGAAAGTGTGATAAATTTACGAATACAAAATTCATTATCACCCTGGTAAAACGAATGTGGTAGTTGATGCTTTATCCAACAAAGAATGAACAAAGCCTCTTCGTGTAAAGGCACTAACCCTAATCACCTACTAGAACCTCACCACCCAAATTTATGATGCTCAGCTGGAAGCACTCAAACCCAATAATATCATTGAGGAAAACCTATGAAGTTTGGACAAACAGTTCGACTTCAAGGAATACGGAACACAGTATTTCATGACCCGAAGTTGGACACCAAAGTTTGGTGAAGTCAGGAGTCTAATCCTAGACGAAGCTCGCAGATCATGATATTCCATACATCCTAGATCAGATAAGTTGTATCTCGATCTCATGAAACTTTATTGGTGGTCCAACATGAAGGCAGAGATTGCCTTCTATGTCAGTAAATGATTACCTTTCTCCAAAGTCAAAGCAGAGTACCAAAAGCTATACGTTCCACTACAACAAATCGTCAATCCTATAATGAAAATGGGAACAAATAACCGTGGAATTCATAATGAAGTT